AAAGAGCCTTCGCAGAACAAAGGTGTTAAATCAAGTTATAAAAACCACAGGAATAGGACATGAGGTTATGAGGAATATGAGGATGACATGGATACATGCACCTCATAATGACTGACCTTCCGATAGATCATGTGGCACATGGCCACACGAATCTTCATGCCTGCTCGCTGGACGTGGTAGAAATAGAGGTGATGAAGGACGGAGAGGCTAATGGCGGTCAAGGAGATGCCTGCAGCATAGCTGTAGGCCTCATAGACCGCGGCTGTGTTGCTGGGGTCGTAACTCTCAAAGAACTCAATTATCTTCCCAAGTAGCACCGGCTGAATGACTTTGATAACATCCTGATAGAAAATGAGATGTAAGGCAGATGTGTGGGTGTGGTGCATTAAAACAGTTCTCTGTAGGCGTTTGGTTTCACTGTGACATTGCACTGTACCTCTATGAAGATGTATATTCCAATGCGTGCGTATGATTTCCAATAGCACTGAACAAGGACTTTGGCAAGTCTGGGTGGGCGCAGATCTTTTGCCGCCTGTTGAACCTCTCTGTTCCAGTACCTTTGAAAAGTGAAAAGAAAAGCAATGATTACTCCCAGTCAGTAATCTAAAATAATGGTGCAGTGTTACTCACAACAATGCACTGTTGCTCTACTGAATGTTTCTGGAGGAAAAAAACACAAGAAAAACTCAGTTTCACATATTTCAAGCAGAATAATGTGCACGAGTGGATGTTTACTGACTAAGTATGCTTCTTATTACAGATTTTGGTGTGTGGCTGTCTGGATATGCGTTTTTACACAATAGAATATTTACTGAGTCAAATATTTGTAGCCGTGCATCGTAATGACTAAATAATAATGAGACTCCTTTTTAGGCTTTTGCAGTGGATTGAAATCTAATTGGATCTGAATTATGAAGAAATAAATTTGTGTTGTTGCTCAGCACTCTCTCTCTTTACCTCCACAATTTAAAACTATCCACTCATTACTGCAGCTGCAGAATTAACTATTGGTATGTGTCATCATCAAGTACTTTTACCTTGGATGGGGGAGGTGCTGATATTTTAGACTCGTCACACTTAGGTTATTATGAATTCAGTAATCCCTCATGTGATAGTGAGGTACTGTCTATATATAGGTGGGCTTCCCTTCCAAGCACATAGTGACTCTGTCACCAAACCCTCAAAGGGGGTGGTCAGTCCCCTATTTAGAAGATGTCCAGGCTCGAGAGGTGCCAGGCAGTGAGTCCACGAGTCTCTGGTTGGCCACTAAACACTTGGATTATGTCCCAGAGGAGAAAGAGGTCATTCCAACATGGCCCCTGCTTAGTATGGGAATAAAGCTCTGATCGTTGTTCGGAGTCAGTAGTTTTGAGTGCGTTGCCTTTGCTGAAGTCGTGAATCGGGTCTTGGAGAACGCCCAAACCTACCCTTTACTTTCAGGGATTTCAATGTCAATAACTATAAACCTTGAAGTTGCATGGATGTGAAGAATAAGACTCTCATCTAAACCTGAGCAGTGTGTTAGTGCACATAATGTGCTAGTCACGGACAGTTCATTATCAATGCCATGTACTAACATAAGGAGGTGCACGGGTGTGCATGGTACCAGACCACCTCATGCTAATGGTTGATGATCAGTTTTGTCTCATCAGTTCAGGGGCCTAGCAAGAGAACTTTAAGTCTCAACTGATCACTCACTATATGATGGGGAATTGGATTCCTGTACCTCAGAAACCATTGGAGAGTCGGGGAACACTTTTCAAAACCGCTATCATGAAAGCGGATGCCAGGAACCGGCAATGAATGCAGGTAAGAACGGGGAACAATCACGCTAAAGAGGTCTTAAAGGACATTATTTAATGTCTTACCATTGTAGCTCCTCCCCGAGTCTATGTGATGCGTCCTCTGGGAGAACTTTATACATGTCATCTTCTTCCAATTTCCTCTGGTACCCAATTCTGAACAAGGGATTCAGCCAACTGGAGAGAAAGTTACATGAAAGTAAGCTCAGTCGTTGAAAATAATGATTGAAATTATTGTTCACATAAACTATGAAAACCTAGTTTTAGCTCAATGAGAAAGCATGGAAATAAAGGAGATAGAGAGTTTTCAGTCTATGATTTTTACTTGAAGACAAAAATACATTGCTTCTGTACATTTTGGATGTAGCTGGAACATTTACATACCACAGTGAAACTATGCAATGTGGCCCTGACGACCATTTTCTAATTCACTATGAACATTAATTGATTCACAGTTTTTGTATCTAATGTAGGTGCCAGAGTGCATTAAAAAAAACATCAAAATAGACTAACAGAGTTTGTTTATAAGAAAAGTGCTAGGGTAGGATCTGCTGATATTTTGCAAAAGGGCAACAGTTTAGTATCCTTGCCATACCACTTGTTTTGTTAACAGAAGTGGAATGTTCTATTCTTCCAAATATGTTTATATACTGTTGTAAACTTCCAAAGCTTTCTACTTCATAATTTACACAGTAATACACATATAAAGGGGTATTGCTGTCTCTTTACTTTTGCCTTTGTATTTATGTCGAGAATAGTGCTAAACAACTGAAGTTATTATTATAGTAACTACTTTTAATTTACTCGTGAAACTGAATAGCACACTTTGTCATGCTCCACGCTACTCCAGAAGTAGGCTACTTTGCACAAGTCAGCCTGTTGTGATTTAAGACTACGGGGATAAATGTAAACCCAAGAGCCTGAGCTCCCTCCTCCGTGTGGGAACGGTGTGGTTCATGTTAACGCATGGACGGATGCTCAGCAGCTACCTGCTATCGCATCCAGGGGACAGCCTGCCTTTTGAATGGCCACAAACTGTCACACAGGAGAGCTCTCCATTCAATTAACGTCAAGCACGGCTGTCACTGCGGGCCGCTTTTCTTACCAGAAGAAAATCTTGGAGAGAAGATTAGCTGAAGCCGACGGATTATCCTTCGCCTCCTTCTGCAGTGGTTCCATGCCCCCCCAACACTAAAACGCAACCTGAGGACTTTCCCTGCAGGCTGTAGTGGCAGGGGGATATCGACAAAGACTCAGAGGAGTAAAACCCCGACAGAACCGCTGCTGTGAACTTCAATGTCTGTCAATATCCCACCTACAACACGCTCAGGACAGGATAACAACGCGAGACGCACCGCCGGCTTGGTTTGGCTCACTGTCAGGTGAGCGGGTCGGAGCGTAAAACCGCCCACCGCCTGGGGATTGGCTGATGGAAGTCTCCATCATTTCTCAAACTCCTTCATGTCATGAACTCTGTCCTCTTTCACCCAGACTATCATTATAAACACAAAAGTACTACAGTAAAAGTAACATCATCCACACTGTACCGTGCAGGATCTACCCTAATAGTGTTTTATTTTGTATTGTATTATATTATATCATAGTCATTGACACTTTTTCTATTAAAATTAAATATAATTGTCGCCTGTTTTTACAGAGAATAAGACTTTTTGTGACTCAACAAAATATTTAAAGTATCTGGTAATATGAACATTTGTAAAAATGTCAAATTAAATATTTCCCCCTGTAATGTACTGGAGTAGTAGATACATTCAAAATGTATTGTATAGATTAAAGTAATATTAATTATTGCTCTCAATATTACCTGATTGATTAAATTACTAGTTTGACCTATATTCATGAATCAAAATGTACCAAACCTATCTTCTTCTTGATTACTATATCTATTTCAAACAAAGCATTTAATATCTGGTGAATAACAAAATGGAAATCTGCTTAAACATAAGCTGTATAAAGCTTTCCCTTTTTCTTGTATTTGTTCCTTCTACCTGTGTAGAAGATACATTTATTTACCCTTTCTCCTTTAACACATTTTCACTTGTGGACCAGAGAAAGTTATCCAATTCTTAATCTCTTAGACAGTTGAGGCAGTATTTTAACCTGTGAACAATTTATGTATAATCAAGTTTGTCTCATTAGGATTTGATTACAGCGAATGTCCCATTTAATTCTGTTTTGAATGGACTTCCTCAGGGCCTCATCCAGTTAGTTCAATGTCACCTGTCATACACATGTTAATATTCAACAGAAGTCAAGTCAGAGAAGAAAATGTAACACATTTCTCTTTTTATCTACAAGGAGTTCTTTGTCCAACCTGCAGTGTGTGGCTTGCCTGGCATAGCCTCAAATAAAATATAGGAACCCTATAAACTTCATATAAATCATCTTTGTTATTTGTGAATTGGGAAAATTGACAATGACCGTTCTAACACCATTTTCTGTCAAATGCACTGAATCACAATTTGTTTACCAATTAGGAAACTGTAAACTGTTGGTGTTTATTTTCACTTCACATACAGTCCTAACACATTTCATGTGTATCACAAACATTATATATGATGATAGATGTTTTTGTATTTGTTTGTTTGTGTTTTTCGTATTCTGTAATAGAGTAGTAGTAGTAAAATACTACAAAAAGTAAACAAGTACAAGCAATGTATCCTACACGGTCTTAGTTTTATTAATGTTTTGGGTGCCATGTTCTCTTTTATAGGTTTTTAGTTTCCATAGTGTCAGAGCCAAACGGACACTCTTGTGTCTTGTGTTCACATTTGAGCTGGTAATCATTAGTCATTCAGTTGCTAAATATTATGTGCAAAAATAGATGAACCGACTGGACTTTGTCACATTGCTTCTTGTTTTGAGGATTACTGATTACTCCTCTATTTTCTTTAATGTTAATATAATACTTGACCTTATTTGTGGACCGAAACGTGCGTTTAAAATATATCTTGCCAAAATGTAATGACTAACTGCCAGCTCACTTCCTTCCTATTATTTTACTTTCCGGCACATGCGTCCATCCCTCGCCACTAGAGACGCAGGCAAGATGTCCTGTCTGTAAATCATCACAATGAAACACATGTCCACGGTGTAATTTGCCCATCTGGGGCCATTTTATTTCTTCTCATTTTCTTGACTCTGTTAAAAGACAGTTTACATATCTTAAACCTCCAAATGTCAGGCTTGCAGATTCTGGCTTTTGTCAGCGGCCTGGCCGGGCTTGGTGCCACTATTGGTGCCACAGTGTCCAATGAATGGAGGGCTACCAGCCGGGCATCCTCAGTCATCACAGCGACCTGGGTGCTCCAGGGTCTGTGGAACAACTGTGCTGGAAATGCCATTGGAGCTCTGCACTGCAGACCACATCATACTATCCTTCAGCTGGACGGTAAGCTAAACTGGGGTCAGAGTTTCAGGGCGACCACAAAGCAATATGTCTGTTCTCACCCTGCTGCGTGACGCATTTGTCTATGTTAACGGAGCGGTTGGAAACACATCTAGTGGGTGAACATAGCCTATGTGCTGATATATGGAGAGGTATTGTATGTATACTACAGAGGTGCTTTACATAAAGTGTTCCTAAATATGTAATCTAAATATTCTTCAACACAGAAACAAATGTTAATCTTGGTTTCACAAGCACGCATCTGTGATGTATCAAGAACCATTAACCTGCGGCCAATTTCTTTCAAAACTCAAACTCAGTAAATTCAGTGCCTATTTTTTCGATAGTGCTTGTCACCACTTTTCAATGGGTTCAATACATAAATAAGTCTTTGAAAGTACTATTGAAGTTTACTGGAAAAGTTATGAAAAAATGTTGTGAAATACATTATTTTTAAGTGATTGATTAAGGTGCATCATTAGGTATATCTCATAGAGGATACAGTCTGATAGCATTTAGTTTTTTGTCAATGAAAGAATGAGATTATATTCATTTAAAAAATAATCCAGACTTTTATCTTGAGAGTCAGATTGTGTCCTTTTTTCTTATCTTTTACATGATCATTGCTGATATAATCACAAATTACATGTTACCTCGACAAGCATTGTTTCAGATTTACAGAAGAAATAAAATGTATGCTAAAAAACATAAGTAAATAATTATTTCTTTCACAGATTATGGCCCATGTGTTAACAGTGGCAAATGAGTAATCCGTTGTTGGAAATGTCAAACTGAGCGTGTCTGAGTCACAGCTTCGACAGAGGAGGTAAACACATACCTGTTGTTGGCAGTAATGGGCCAGTAAAGGAGAAAATAATAGTCAGACTTCATTAAATTCTAATCATGAAATCGTGTGATCCCTTTTCACCCATATTATATGTTGTTTTATTTACTTTATATTGAAGGGAATTTGCTCTTTGTTTGTAATCAAATATTTTTGGATTATGCACAAAATTTTCTAGTGTTTTGACTTCTGTGAAAAACATTTGTTGTTGTTGTTGTAATTGTAATTTCGGCCACAAGAGGCTGAAGTGCACTACTACCTTATGCTCTAAAATAGGACTAAAAGCTGTCATGTATTCCCCAACAGCAGATTAAAATAAATGTCTAGCCAAAAGAAAAACATGACAGTAACGTCACATAACTTGCCAACATACAACACATGTACCTTGTGTTTCGAGTGCATAAAGAAATTAGTAGTCACCTGGAAGAAAATGTGAATGATTGTATTGCTATTTATTGTAGAACATGGGGTTTTGGTGTACTTCAGCCTCTCGTGAAATATTACAACAACAAATTACAATACAAATCTTTCCTGTTTTCACAGGTTAAAAACAATATCCTAAAAAAACCTGTTCGGGAGTTAGAAACAAGAACGATAAAACTATTTAGATCAGACTTTTTTCTCTCACTCTCCTCTCAGGGCTTCCGTATAAGACTGAATGACACACTGTTAATAAGTTGTTTAAATCCTGCTACTTTAGGTCCTTGAGGAAGTTACAGCACTCTTGTTATGCAGGTGGCAGTGCAAGGTGAAAGGGACACATTCACTGTATCCTGTCTCAAATGTCTGCTGTTGTTTCTCAAGACAGATTCGACTCTCGAGATTTGTGAAGCTTAATATTATTGTTTTGTCGAGGCTGTCAGAAAGGTGCAGGTTCACCTTTCATACATTTTGTGGTGTGGACGGACAAAATAACAGGAACACCTTACGATTTACATTTGGCTCATGCCTTGTGATGCATTTTTTGTTTACCCTCGAATAGGAATGACCACTAAAAACATTGTACAAGTTATAATACATTAATTATGTAACACGACTCAGAATAAATACTACGTGTTTGATATGGAAGTACATCAACTTTTAATTCAGTAAACATTTTTGTTAAAAAATTCCACTTTTAACAAAGTATTTTTCCGTTATGGTATCAATATCTTTACTTATTAATCTAGTCGTTTGAGTGTTGGACTTCATGCTCATCACAATGCCCACTCAAAATAATATGCACACACACTAACACAGAGCAATACATTAACTGTGCATGCCCACAGTTGCTATGATTTTAAACGTCATAACTGATGTCATTATGACACTTTCTACATTCAGAACTTTCAGTCCCCATCACCTGTGACTGTAAGTCACAGTGACGTGCACTGGATGGGGGGGTGGAAGACACCATAAAGACCAATGGCCACTTGTTGATGTTCAGGGCCAAACTCCTCCCTACAGAATATAACAGTCCACAACACATTAACTATCAATCGCAGCCTATCCATCGAACTTACTAGTGTAGCGCAAAGCTACATTTTCAACACTCCTCACTAGCCAGGGAACCATTAAACAATTGCAGATCTCACCAATTTAATTGGACGTCACACTGCAGTGTGGAGGAGTCCTCTCTGCAGAACAAGCAGCATGTTTCAGCAGATCATGGCCTTTATTCTAAGCTCTTCGGGGTGGGTGCTGGTGTCTTCTACCTTGCCGACGGACTACTGGAAAGTATCTTCACTTGATGGAACAGTCATCACCACAGCTACCTACTGGTCCAATCTGTGGAAGGCCTGTGTCACTGATTCAACTGGAGTCTCGAACTGCAAAGACTTTGCCTCGATGCTGGCACTGGAGGGTCAGCTCGTTGCTCCCGTTGTTAATGGATTCTTGTTTTTTCTGCCTTTTTTGGTCAATCATGTTGAAATGATTTCCTGTTTGTTTTTCTGTTAGAGAACACTGGTTAATGCCTGAAAGAGTTGATGTATTCTTTCTATCTTTAGACTAGTGCTGACTCATCCTCAGTTTCCAAGTGCCTGTTTTAAGTGTTCAGCTCCTTCTCGGTCTAAACTTTGGTAGAAAATTCTAGTTGAAGCTCATTGCTACTCAGGACTGATAGATACCCTAAGGCCTAATTCAAGTCTTCAAGGAACAACTCATTTACCTCCAAATGTGTCAATGTTTAGCGTGTGTTCCAGGAGCTTGAAACCCATAAAGGAGATTTACTCTGACCCTCAGGTGTTTTTTCCCACGGCTGACTAATTTCAGGGGTTAACTTCCAAGGTACAATTTGCCACGAAATCACATCTTAATGGGGCGTTTCATACCAAGACAGTCCCTACACTACTGCGAAGTGCCTGAAAACAATTAGAGTTAATTGTGACAAATTGTTTTTCTTGCTTTATGTGTAAAATGGTCACAAGGTCACAAACCCATTGACATTGTGGTGTGCAGATGTGAGACTACAGGGAATGCAAAACCACAGAATGGAGCCCGAGAAAGTGACACCCTTTTGATTGCATATAAATTGACCTCTATTTTACATTTGCAGGCTACATTCAAGCATGCAGGGGATTGATGATTGCAGCTGTCTGTCTGGGGTTTTTTGGTTCTATATTTGCCCTTGTTGGAATGAAATGCACCAAAATTGGAGGAAGCGACAAAAGCAAAGCCAAGATTGCCTGCTTTGCAGGTGTAAATTTCATTCTTAGTGGTAAGTACAGTCAAATTATCTCTACAATATCTGTAATTATATGTGTGGTCTAATTAGATTGACTTTTTTCTTGTTCTTCTCAGGCCTCTGCTCACTTTCAGCATGCTCCCTCTATGCACACCGGATAACGACAGAGTTTTTTGACCCAATGTATATGGCACAGAAGTAAGAACTGTTTTATTGTTTCAGAGAGTGTTTATAACCTATTCAGAAAATGATCATCATCAACAAGTATTGGTCTTTGTCTGTAGGTATGAACTGGGAGCTGCTCTCTTTATCGGCTGGTCAGGTTCTATCCTCTGCATCATTGGAGGCAGCATGCTCTGCTTCTCCATCTCAGGTTCTTTTCCCAAAAGGTGCTTTGAGTAACACATACGTTTCTGTTATACGGTAGATACACGAATGATCCATTTCTGTTGAAACATAATTTAATTTATGAAGACGAATCTGTGTTCTGTCTCTTTCCAGCCACAGTCAGGCAAACTATACCTACAAAGGTGCTGCCTCACATTCTCATATCTCCTCCTACCCGAGAGGGAAGGCAAAGTCTGTAAACCAGAGGCCGCCTCCAGACTACAGCAACTCCTCCAGGACGCAGCACTTTGATAAGAATGCATATGTGTGAGGGATGTGAATAAACACTTTTAGTTGATGCCAATCGTGAGTCTTAAAAGAGGTACTGGACAATGTGTTGCTGTTAATCTGTGGCTCATCAGGAAGTAAGTTTAGAATATCTAAATGTTTCTTCCAGGGGTCTGAATTTAAATTGTATGATGCAGTTTACTCTCTGATGTTGGGGATTTCTATTTTCTATGCAGCAGACAGCTTCTGTATTTGGCAGTTGTACATATTACTTTGCCTTGAATTTCAGGATTATGTAGGTATTATGATTAAGCAACTAAATCAAAAACATACGTAGGGTCAAGAAGGGGCCTCTCTCATCAAATCTTTTGCATACTTTTCTATTTCTATTTGATGTTTGTGGCAATTAAGTGTGCAATATTTGACAAGATATTTCTTTCGTTGTTTGTATCTTTGACTGTACGTAACCTGTAATATGTTAATCTGTAATCACACTATTTAAAATGGAGTCAAACACAGATTCTCTTGTTTTCCATTAACTATGATTTTAATAAACACACTTGAAGAGGGTCAGAAAAGGTCTGGATTTTGTAATATATTGAAATGTGTGGCTAATGATGAGAAGGCTACGTTTTTTGGAAGAGTATATGAGTGGAAATAAAATAGATAAAAGAAAGAATTGAGTTTCAGCATACCATTTTTCTTTGTTTTCTTGTTTAATCAACAGATTATATCTCCTCATCAGTGATCACATCATGTCAGCAGAGGGCAGCAGTCTTGCATTCTGTGCTGAGTTCTCTTAAGAAGATCCTTGAGAGTCAACTGTTTTATCCGAATGATGTGTTTGACAAAAATAATCAATCGTTTTGAGGTGGTTAAAAACATGATCTTTCCTATCACAAATACATATTAAAGGTATTATTGCTACATACGAATAGATGCAAAAAAAATGGACTTAAACCTGAAAAAAGTAGCTAGAGTTGGAGGGAATTATCTCAAGTGGGTGGCACGCTCCAAAAAGTTTACAGTAAACATCTCACGCAATCATACAGAGCCCTCATCAACACTAATGGCACACGAAACAGACACAATGTCCTCCTGTCCTGAAACAGGAAACGAGTCATCATCCTGTTTAACGCTGACCTGACGTTTGGCGTGTTTTGAGCTTCTACCCAACTGAGTGGACGCTACCTGGGTTAATTTAGTGATTTCCAAAATGAAGAAACGTGTGCTCCAAGTACTTGGCTTCTTGATTTCATCACTGGGATGGCTGTTTGTGCTGTGCACCATGGCCATGGACTTTTGGAGGATCACGCAATTAGGAGGACAAGGGGGCTCCTTTATCATCAAAGTGGCCTGGTACTGGTCCAATTTATGGAAGGATTGTTTCACCGATTCCACAGCCGTCACCAACTGTAGAGACTTCCCTGTGCTTTGGACTGTCACCCGTAAGTATTTCACTTTGAATTGATAGACAGATTGGCAGACCTGTAATTCAGCAGGGAGAGCATGGCACAGTTATGGATGAGTGTTCACAGTGGCACTTAGTTCACACCAGTGCCTAAAGTGAGACTGTGTTATGAAACAAGAAATAACTTTATGACATATTTTTCCTGAATATGAAAAGTTGAGTTCATGAGCAATAACACGCTAGCTTACTTCGTGACTCTTCTCTACCTGTGCTATTGTCGCCCTACCTTTTAGCATATAACATTATCCCATTATTGACGCTTCTTGTTGCCACAGTGGCCGCTGTTGAGAAAAAAGTCACATAGACTTACTTTAAGGTACACGATGAAGTGAACATTACTTTGTTTCAGTTTTGTCGGAAAGTTGTCAATATTATGGACATTTTTGAAGGCAAAACCTGTAATAAAATCCTAAAAGATGATTGTATGAATATGTAGTCTTATGAATTCTGTGCATGTAACAAACTAGCATTAGACAGCAGAGCTTCATTTGTCCCAGTGTAACCTTCAAATATTGTGGGATTAAGAATACAACTAATACAATACTGACTTTGACAGAAAACACCACGGCTAAAATCAAGGAATTGTCATTCAACATTCAGTTTTGTGGGAATTTATGGATCACTTTAATTCACATTTCAAGAGGAAATGTAAACTCAATCTAAGGGCTTAGGTACAATTTCTGTGCATACTAAGATTTAACATTCTGAATGAAAAGAAAAGTGTGAAGTCCTGTTCAGCGGGTGGAGCAAAGCATAGCAACGGATGAGGGCTGTCAGTGACATTTAGTTTACTGCAGAGCTTAAGCTGAGCACACAATACAATTTAAGTAGTAAGTAAGTAAAAGTTCAATAATTGTAACAACTTTGTCAAAAAGGTGTTAATTCAACTGACTATGGTCATTTTTGGTAAAGTTTGAATTTAAGGTGCAATGAATATTTTGTCATCCCTGCTTCAAAGAAAATCTCAGCAAAACTGAGAAAACTATTATAAGCATAAGCAGTATTTCGTTGTAAAAAGTGTTCACATTATTGTGTCTAGTGAATAAAACCTCCATTTCTCACATTAGCGTCTTTTCTGTCTGAGAGAACTCTTTCTTTCTGCTTCTTACAGCTTTTGTCCAGGCAGTACGAGGATTGCTAATGTGCGGGTTGACTCTTGGTTTTTTTGGTGTTGTACTTTGTTTTGTCGGGATGGAGTGCACTTATATCGGTGGAGCTGAGAAAACCAAGGACAAACTGCTTTTTGCCGGAGCAGTGTTTCATATTGCTGGCTGTGAGTACACAACAAACACGTTTGTCTCTATAAATGACAGAAATGTTTTGCCTTCATTATTTCTTGATTTCAACAAAACCTCTGCATGCAGGTGTGTCAGATATTTCCGCCTACTGCTTATACATCAACAGGGTTGCCAGAACAACCTTTGCGCAGAGCGTGGGGCCAGGAGTCTTACGGTACTTTTTTTGTCTACATCACAATATCATTTTATGAAAAATCTGATGTATTTAAAGTATGTATAGTTTATCATGACTCATGTGTCTTACATTTCTCTAATTCCAGGTATGACCTGGGAACTCCCATATTTCTCGGATTGGTGGGATGTTTTTTGATCCTTCTAGGGGGGATGTTTTACGCTGTGACCGTCTACCGGGTGCTTGTCCCAGAAAGGTATTTAAATTCATCCATCTTCACTTTTTTTCCTGTGACTTCTGAGTTCATTCCACATTATGAACATTTACATGTTTTGGTCTTACAGTAAAGTGGTATATGCCTATGGGGGAGGCACGTACATGGCCCCTCGCTCCGGAAGAAGAACCCTGTACACCGGATACTACAGACCCCCCAGGCAGTATGGCTCTTATTTGGGCTCAGGTCCATCCAACAGCTCCAAGATCTCAAAGCTCTCTCAGACAACGCTCATAAAAATCTCAGAAAGAGATGCATTTGTTTAGTTCCACAAAGCTCTTTTTTTATGTATAGTTTCACTAACAATCAGAATATTGCATACTGTAGATAAAATGAAAACCCCTCTGCTTTCTCTTCAGAGCATCATGTATAATTGTATTTTGTTGTTATTGCTGTTGTTGTTTTAATGATCTTGTCAAGTTTTGTTTTTTGGAAAACAGGTCATACTCTGTATAGAATACGCTGTCTTGTGTTTACTCATTGATGTTGTTCACTTCCGTGCTCATTGTTAACTTTGTTGTGATTTAACCAAAGCGTGGATTACTATTGATGACGCCATTGGAATATTTCTAAATTGATACAGTAAAAATGCTAATATGAATGGCAATGAGAAAGTGCATATTTTCACTTATTTTAGTTTGGATGAGGAATTACTTGGTGAGTACACCGTTATCTCAACTGTTTAAAGTGACAGCCAATTACAAAAATAAGACCTAAGTTTTATTAAAGTGATATTATCCTTTAAACTAGATGATTTCATAAGCAAGCATACGTGATTAAAAATTATTAAGGACTGTTTGAACACTGACTAGACATGTCCTTGTACTGAACGACACTGCTAATGAACTGGTTGATGCAATTTGTTTTAAAAGTCTGTTACTTGTCACTTTTATGTGAAATTTGTATGCAGTTACGAACTGTTTGCTGTTTTGTTATTAAGTCTGTTATTTGTGCTTTTTGTGTGAAGCTTTTATGCTGCCTGCTTGGCCAGGACTTCCATGAAAAGGGATTTGTAATGTCAGTACAAATCCTGAATAAATAAAGGTTAAATAAAAAAATAATAATGGCCAGTTGTGCTTCTGAGGATCTTTCTCCCATAGCTGAACTTGAGTATCACTGACACCAAAGCACCATTGATGAAAGAGAGAGTGGGGGAGGGACAATCACTGCATTAGGATGAAGGCTCAAGAAGCTGACAGATGACTCCTTCCTTGTAAGGGCAGAGGGTGTTGTATGTTGTACATATGAGACAAATCTATAATTTTTTCCTATAGAAATTAAACTTGTAGGAGGCCAACTAAAATAAACCACCTGGCTTAATCTTAACTGGTGCTGGAAGAAAAGAAGTCCAAACTGATAGAAGAGATGTACATACACTTTGATCTACGCAGTGTACACTTTATTTGAGCTTTTAATTTAAAGGACCTTCATCAGAGCAACCTAGTTTGTTCCAATTCTTAATACGAATGTTTATTATGACAAGGTAATCATGTGTTGTGGTTATGTGTGTGTGTGCGTGTGTGCGTGCATGTCTGTGTGTATCTGTCTGTCTGTCCATGGCTAATCTCGCATACTACTGGACCGCTCAGCCTGATATGTTGACCTCATGAAAAAATTGACTGTGTGCTGACTCCTCACTCCTCTTAACAAGCCTGTAAGGGCTGCAAGTGATACTGCTTCAGTAGCAAAAAGCATTTCCGGAAATCGGTTACACTAAAAAACGAGCCTTACCCAGTCTGTTGCAGACCATATTTAAGCCAACTTGGAGCTTAAACAGGTGTCTCAGTAGACAGGACAATTGAGACAACATTTAGGGGAGATGAGGTCTGCAGCACATGGTGTGGTGGAAAAATCCTATACCCGCTTTGTGCGAGTCTTTTAATGCTGAAATAAAGAAAACCGAAAACCAGAGGTTATCTTTTGAGTATTTAGAGACAACAACGGCCAGCAACCAAAACAAGCGGCCAGACGGCCTTGGCATGGAGCATTCTTATACAACACTGTTAGTTGTCTTTGCAGGCAGTCATGGGTGAATTCTTCTTTTGCTCAATAGAGACACAGTGAAGTTCAGCGTTTTGGAAAGCACTGGCAATCAATGTCATCCTACCAATTGACTTTTTTTTTTTCACAGAAGACATTTCGCCATTAAACAGCAGAAAAGCAGAGTTGTAAATGATAACATTTATGAATTCCATTTAGCCGCTTCTGTTTCAGGGACCTGGACTTGATGGCTAATTGTCACATTGTCTCCCTGGGAAACTTGAAAAGAACAGAGTCGTTGTTAATGTTAATTTGGCAGACATGTGCATTACACAAACAACAAATGCATAGTCGGACGTGATGGTGTACACAAGCCATGTTCAGCCTCTTGTGTGTGTGCCTTGTGTTTTGCAAATAACACAACCCTAATGTAATTGTTTTTTACTGAGGCTGTCACAAAAGGCCATAGTTTGTGGTGTGAATGAGTTTTGCACTTCATGCACACAGTTTACATATGCCCACTCAAAACAGTCCAACCCCCTACACACACAAACAGACACATATGAATCACAGTGACGTGTACTGAATAAGAGGGTGGAAGATGCATTAAAGACCAATGGCCATTTGTTGATGTTCAGGGCCAAACTCCTCCCTACAGAATATAACAGTCCACAACACATTAACTATCAATCGCAGCTTATACATTGAACTTACTAGTGTAGCACTAAGCTACATTTTCAATAAGCTTCACTAGCCAGGGAACTACTAATCAATTTCAGGTCTCACTAACTTAATTGGACGTTACACAGCAGTGTGGAGGAGTCCTCGCTGCAAAATGATCAGAATGTTTCTGGAGATCTTGGCCTGTATTTTTGCCAATTCGGGGTGGGTGCTGGTGTCTTCTACCTCGCCGACCGACTACTGGAAGATATTTTCACTTGATGGAACAGTCGCCGTCACAGTTACCAACTACTCCAATCTGTGGAAGATCTGTGTCACTGATTCAACTGGAGTCTCCGACTGCAAAGACTTTCCCTCGATGCTGGCACTGGAGGGTCAGCTCGCTTTTCCCTTTCTTGTTGGGTTCTTTTTTTAATCTACTGTTTGTTTCTTTAGCTAATGGGCACATGTAGAAGCTTTGAAGGCATGTTGTCGTTTCTCTTTTAGCCTACTTGTTCATATTTAGACTAGTGCTAATTCATCTTCAGTTTCCAAGTGCCTGTTAAGTGTTCAGCTCCTCCAAGAAAATTCAAGTTGAATCTCATTGCTACTCCGGACTAATAGATACCCTAAGACCTAATGCAAGTTTTCAAGGAACAACTCATTTACCTCCAAATATGTCAATGTTTAGCGTGTGTTCTCAGAGCTTGAACGCTATGATGGAGATTCACCACAAACCTCAGGCGTTTCTTCCGATGGATGACTAGTTTCAGGGGTTAACTTTCAAGATATTTGCCACAAAATCACATCTGAATGGGACATTTTATAGCAAGACAGTCCCTACACTACTCTGCTTCTCCATCGTGGGTTCTTTTACCAAAAGGTTTGTTTAAGTTACATTTACTATGTTTATGTTTCACAGAAGATACATGTATTAATAAATTGTTTTGAATCATATAGATGTTTGATTTATGAAGACAAATCTGTGTTCTGTCTCTTTCCAGCCACAATCAGGCAAATTATATCTACAACGGTGCTGCCTCACATTCTCATATCTCCTCCTACCCGAGAGGGAAGGCAAAGTCTGTAAACCAGAGGCCGCCTCCAGACAGCAGCAACTCCTCCAGGACGCAGCCCTTTGATAAGGATGCATATGTGTGAGGGATGTGATTATTAAGCACTGAATATATGAATTTTAATTTTATAATATTAATTTGTAAATGTTTAGAATATTTAAATGTTTCTTGCAGGGGTTTGAACATTGAAGGAAGTTGTATGATGCAGTTTACTCTCTGATGTTGGGGAATTTTTATTTTCTATAGAGCGCTCTGCATTGAATTTTAGGATTATGTATGTATTATAATCAAACAGCAAAATTTCAAAATATTTGGTCCAAAATTGTCCTGTTTAATCTAATTTGTCATAATTTTCTATTTTTGTATGTATGTGGCAAAGTATTCATCATCATGCCTTGTGCCTTGTGTCGTGTATGTTGGCAAAGTATGTATTTTCTGTTCCATATGTTGATTGTATTTTTGTAATTAATCTCAATCTAAAACACGTTTTGGTCTGTCTGACCTAATCAGGTATATGATCAGCAACATTAGTAGATTACTAGAATATATATATGTATATATAAACCCACACACATAGAGGAGCTGCCTCAATCAACTAAATACTGATGATCACCCTCAACTTACTCAAATCATGCACGTCATCTGTCAGACAATAACATTAAACAGTGTAAAAATATACAAAGTAACTCATTATAATGGTACTAATAAATCCTAAGTAACTTTCATGTAATCTAAGATCTCTCCAAAAGTAAAAAAAAAAAAGTAGACAGACAGGAACAAGTGAATCTAAGAGACATTATACTAATAGATCGCACAGTGTCATTAAACATATTTAAAGGGAAGATTAAAACTCTTAATCTGTCACAGAGCATTTTCAGTGTCATTATACATGAAATATTACCCTCCCGCCATTAGCATTAAATAGTCACAGGTCAAACATAAAGAATCTCATCAATTAATAAATAAATAAATAGCATCATTGCCGATTCATCAGTACATTTTTACAGTGAGAGGACCAATAGACTAAAACAATACATACATTTCTTTTCTAAATATTTTGCCTAATTTAATTAAAGTACGAGCATCGCTAAGGTTAACTCTTGGTCTTTTTGGTGTACTTACATTTGTGAAGTGGATAAAAACCAAGGACAAACTGCTTCTTGCCGGCGCAGAGTTACATATTGATGGCAACGAATACAAAACATACACGTTTACTCTGTAAATGACAGAAATGCTTTGCCTTCATTATTTCCTGATATCAATTGTACCAATAAAATTTACAGTATGTCCAAAGTACGCTGATATTTCTGCTTGAACTAATTCCAGGAATGACTAGATGGCTTGTTATATCACTCTAGGGTCTGTGTTTTACGCTGTGAAAAGCAATCTGCCCTCGTTATTTCTTAATAAAAACATTGTCTGTATTTAATGTAGTGTATTATTTAGTAATTTTACTCATGATAGTTCTCGCCATTTTGCACCAGCATATTCTCAGTTCCAACCTTTTCAACAAACATGAGTGTATTATGCTTCTGTCAACATTATCAATGTGTAACAAAATAGTTTCATAATTTATAAATATTTTAACATTCAAGGATGTAATAAAAGAAAAGTTTGATGTGTTTGCCATTGCCTTGTTTGCATGTTTCGACTGTAACACAGCGTCTGTATAGGCCCATGTGTATTATACCAACAACAAACGCATCACCAAAGTGACCGTCACAAAACAGTGGAATCACAGTTCAAGGCAAAACATGTGATGATGTACACAAACCAAGTTTTGCCTCTCATGGGTGTGTATCTTGCGGCGCCCCACAGTGTTCAGGAGCCGTTGGATTTTATTTTTCTTCTGGATAGAGGCTCAACTTCAAGGCAAGCATGAGTTACAGGACTGTGATGATGTACATGGAGATCGGCTGCTTTGTTGTCTGTGTATCAGGATGGATCCTGGTGTGTTCCACAATGCCCACAGAGATCTGGACATGGTCTGAGGTAGACAGCTTAGTGTTGACCACCTCAAACTACTTCTCCAACCTGTGGAAGGATTGTATATCCGATTCAACTGGAGTATCTGACTGCAAGGGAATTCCATCAATGCTTGCTCTGAACTGTAAGTAAATGTGTTTAAGCACAAGGCATGATGATGAATAAAAACAAGATCCTTAGTCTTTTTTACTGCACCTTCTAACGTATGCTGTGTATTGTTACTTTGCTGTTCTTCGGCAGGGGACATTCACATGTGCCGTGCTCTCATCATCATCTCTATTATCCTGGCTTTCTTTGGATCAGTTCTGGTCTTAGTGGGAATGAAGTGCACTAAGGTTGGTGGATCAGAGATTGTTAATGCAAGAGTAACCTTTGCTGGGGGCATGAACTACCTTATTGGAGGTAAGACATGACACAGACGTATTTGAAAGAAGTCACATACACTGTAAATTCATCTTAACATCAATATGTTGTTTTGTTATTATTTTAGGGATGTGTTCTATGATTGCTTTCTCCTACTATGGAAACAAAATTAGAGCAGAATTTCAAGACCCTAACTTCAAACCTCAAAAGTACGTATAATTTTCAAGTGACATGGATAAAATATACAACAAACTCCTCTTATATCATGCATCAACATTTACCAGATGACTCTATCGAGGAAGAATTGTACATTTATATATTATTCTTGTATTTATTGCCAGATTTGAAATAGGGGTTGGCGTCTTTATCGGCTGGGGAGGCTCCACCTTACTTGTTGTTGGAGGCCTTATTTACAGTATCTTTGCAGGGTGGGAAGGGTGCCACTCAAGGTAAAGTTCTGTCACTGATGTTTTTTTCCAGCATTTCTCTTATCTACAGAAAAGTAACCACCCATTTCTTGACTTTGAACCTCACAGCTCAAAAAGATACCCTGACTACCAGTTCCATGGTGCCTACACGTTTGTTCCGACAAATAAAAGCATTGTTTCTGTAGCTCGCACGAGGACTAGTGCGAGCAGAAAATCAGGGACCACCAGAAGCAGCAGAGACAGCAGCGTCTCTGGAATTACCACTACTACCAAGATGACAGCTACAAATGCATATGTGTGACTTCTTTTCAATATTCTGTTTCTGTCCTTGTCCATGAAATACATGTGTGGCTTTATTTCCATGATCATTTTATATTAAAATTCATATTTGAGCTTTAATATCCTAGTTAGAAATGGCCTTTTTCCACAGCAGACATATTAACTTGTCATAGAAGGGAAAGCACTGGATCTGGGCTATTGAAGTCCCAAAACATGTGTAATTATTTAGATGTTTTGCTGTTGTTGTTGTTGCCACTAATTATTTTTAATAGAAATGTAGACAATAATAATTAATTTATCTATATATATAAATAGAACTATATGTATGAAACATGAACATAGATGTAACTACTGTAATAATGCTTGGACTTTATGTTGACTAAACATATAATGTTGCTTTAGGGAAATTTTCTCTAAATGGACCTCGTAGAATTTTGATGGGTGCCATTTTGCATAAAGAGTCATTTTACTTTTGATATTTTAATAACATGCTTCTGTACTTTTACTTAAAGGGCCTGTGTGTAGGATTTGGCGGCATCTAGCGGTGAGGATGCATATTGCGACACAAGTTAAACTTGTTCTCCCAAGTGTTTGGGAGAACTACACGGCAGTCAATGCAAAAAAGTGAAAGACCCTCTTTAGAGCCGCGTTTGTCCATTGTGGACTACTGTAGAAACATGGTGGTGCAACACTCCGTGAAGAGGACCCGCTCCATATGGAGATATTAACGGCTAATTCTAAGGTAACAAAAATGAATCTTATTTTCAGGTGATTACAAACAAGGGAAAACATAGTAATATCATATCCCATTCCTGTAAATAGATCCCCCTGAATGGTACACTCTGGCCTTTTAAGTACAATTTTGAATGTAGGACTTTTTACTTGTAATATGTATGTTAATGAGTGCGTTTACATAGTAAAATTGCTCATTCATCTGAATATTTCCACCACTGCTGAATGTCTGCTCCCTAATTTACTAATCTCATGAGAACCATATGTCCCTGTATACTATTTACCACCAACTCAGTTGCGTAGCATTAATAAAACATATTGTATCTTGAAAGTATCTTGTATTTTGTATATAAACTTGACACTAGAATCATATCTTTATACAGTATTTTGTGATAAATGTAATACATGACAAGAGGAGTTAAATATTCTTTCCAACACTTATTCTCATGCATACTAGAACTGTTTTTTCTATCAAGAACCACATCAGCCTCTAGAACTCATTTAAGTTGTTGGCAGCTGCTTAGCCACTGGTGTGCCCAGATGTGCCAGTGTCTAAATCTTAAACTGCCATGCCCAGCATAATCATAAAAAATGTAAGAGTAGCAGGGCTTTCTATATGCACCGGCTGCCAACCAAACAGTGGACTACTCATTTAAGTCCAGCCTACTTTATTCTATAATGTTTTTATTATTATAAAATAGTTTTGATAAACAAGTTGCAATTAAGTGTGTGTACATGTTTTAACCACTGGCCTCTGCTTCTGGCTATCTGTCTGTATCAGTCCCACCCCAACCTCTACAGCTTTACTATAGCATAAAAAAACAACAAATAATTCAGCGTATTAACTGGAATAGTGGCACTAGTATGCCAGAGGCCCTCACATTTGAGGTTTTACCTGTACGTTTTAGGGCCCAAATTGTTCCCCCCCCCACTAACTCACTTTGTTCTTGCACACTTTATGTCCCACAGGCCCGCGTAAATTAACATATTGGGGTACATGGTTGTTTTGTGAGGACCAGCACCTTGTTCCCCACAAAGCCATTGAACCCCACACCGTGTGGTTCACCAAAATGTAGAAAAACAAAACCACCAGATGGCCGACTTCAGGTTGGGAGGGAGGATCAGACAGTAGCTGTCAGTGTCCGGGAGCCGCTGGAGGTGCACTGTGCTCTCACACCTGAAACAAAACAAGTGGGAGAGTGGTGGAAAGATGGGCAACGAGGAAATTAGTCTAAATATGAGTCCAGCTCAGCTCCACTGCAGAGAGACATACAAGGACCTGGCCACCATTGAAAACACTGAAGAAGTGAACGAACTCGTCAACACACTTTCATCTCTCGGCTACAAATCTGACATGTGGATCGGCCTGTTCAGTGTAATCGACTGGAGGTGGTCAGTCGGCAGCAGCGGGAGTGGATCTGAATATAGGAAATGGGAAAACCTTGCTGACAATGAGCCAGACTTTGCCTCTTATAATCAGTTCTGTGTGACCATTGGAGACACCGGAAGGTGATGGATGATAATTGTAAACTGCACTACCCATTTATCTGCTCCAAAGGTATAAGGACGTAGCAAGGAACATTTTAATCTTGGAAAAGATTCCGCAAGTCACCGATATGTTAGCGACAGAAGCTGACCATAAAGTAGCACTTTGTTGTGCAATAACGTCACACTCAGTTGTATCTGTGTTTTACTGCTAATGTTCACTCACTAACTCATGTGACATAATCCCATCTGTGTTTCTGCGTAGCTGAACTGATTGAAAACATGGATAAGAAAGCAACCTGGGACCGCTTCGACACTGAGAGCAGCAGCAGGACAAACACCTTCAAACACTTTGAGTGGTTCTTTGGCTTCGATGCTGTCCGGGACTTCATTATCCCCCTATTGCAGACCAAGCCCCACCCAGACGGTTTGCTCCAAGTCCTGGATATGGGCTGTGGCACTTCTGCTTTAGGGCCCTGTATTTACAGACACTCTCCTCTCCCGGTCCGGGTCACTTGTGCAGACATTTCCCCCATAGCTGTGCGACTAATGCAGGAACACGTCCAAACCCAAGCCATTCAACCTCACAATCTTTCCTCTCGGCTTGAGTTCGTAGAGCTGGACTGCACACAGCTCCACGAGCACTACGGTTGTAGCAGTGTGGACCTTATTGTTGATAAGGGCACCACAGACGCCTTGTTGAGGTCTAAGGAAGGGAAATGGAAGGCCAATCAGGTGCTGAAGCAGTGTTTGAAGGTGTTGCGGAGCTCAGGGTCTCTGCTCCAGACCCTGATGCCAGGCTGCTGTGGCTGCAGACCGAGGCACAGGAGCCGGGGGTGATGGCAGCAGATGTTGGGGTGCAGGAGGTTGGGGAGCTAAGGGGAATGACTTACTGCTACCAAGTGACTTCTCGCTCTATTGTACAGCAACTTTCTTCATCTGGATGGTGATAATATTAAATGAGTAAACTACTGAACTGATTGTAACAAGTAATTGATAAGGTACACATACAGAGTGTGACTTATCCACCAAACTGGACCTCCACAGTCCGACAGCAGAGACAACAAGAGATTTACTACTCGTAAAATAACCTGAAGGTAAAGAATGACCTCTTTATGAAATGATAAAAGTTGACAAACCACTTAAACTGTCTGAGAAGTTCGAGGGAGGTCAGAGACTTTCTAGTGGGTTAGTGGTTTTGCCCGTCCTGGCTCTCTGTCCTTCTCAACAGCCCCTGCTCACTCCCCAGACCTGCCAGTCCTGGTCCCATGACATCCCTTCCCACCTACACACCTGTTCCCACTTTCCTCATCAGACCTGTAGTTTCCAGAAAACACACCTAAAACATTTTACTCTACTATATATTTGGAGTTTTATGATAAGTAATTGTTCTTTGTATATAAGAAACATTTCACCAACAAAGACCACACTTCTTATGATTGCAAATTAGTTTGAAATAACATGACATACATCACAAAAAACATAATGAATAGGAGAACTGAAGCCACCGGGAGATAATAGACAGACTTATACAGGGAGACACAGGTTGTTAAATCAGGAGAAACTTAATTTACAGTGAACAAATACATTTATTAAATTGTGCAAAGTAAAGTTAAAATTTCAAGGGTCACATCGGTTTGTGCTGAAATGACAGCTGACTGCACAGAAGAGAACAGGTCTTTAAAGTTTGACGGGAAATATATGATTGGCTGAGGGAGGCCGTGGTGAAATCGCCCACTGTCAGCTGATAGAGTAGGAGCCAGAGAGCGAGAGTCACAGACATGTGTGAGTGAATGAGAGCATAACAACACTGTCCTAATGTAGGAAGTTAGAGTAAATCCCCAAACTTTACATAGTTAATTCATTTACAACTGTATGATTATAAATACTATATTTCAAAATATCACTCCTATAAGCAAAGCTCTCCAAGTTGTACTGTACTTAACTCTCAGTAAATAATCAATGCTAACAATTTGATATTCAAGGAGGGATTTGGTAATCCTTAAATTATTATAGTGGCACCAAACATACTAAACTAAATTATGAAAAATGCTAACAGACTAAATCTATTCTGAATCCAATGTTACAGGTCAGATATGCTACTGGTTTACACGACAGGAGTTTGGTGAGAGTATATTACCCCATCATCCTACATTGGACACCGGAAGTACCCTAACGCATGTTGGCACATGATTTGAAGACTGGCCATCCCCTTTTGATACTACTGAAACAGCAGCCCAACACAGCGACATGTCACCGTGCAGGACTCTCCCCGACTGTCTCTCGAGAGACGGTCGGGGAGATACAGTCGCGTATCTCCCTGAGGAGGTACGCGACTGTATCTCCCTGACTGCCTCTCGAGAGAGAGTCGGCGAGATACGTGACTGTCTCTCCCCGACAGTTCACGCTCACTGTCACGATCTGGATAACCAGGGAAATTACTCTTGCATATGTCACAACTACGTTAGAGGCACGACCAGTGTCCAGATATAACTATGATCCGTTTACAAGTTTTACTGTTACTCTCAGTAAATAATCAATGTTAACAATTGGATATTCAAGGAGGGATTTGGTAATCCTTAAATTATTATGGTGGCACCAAACTTCCTGAGCCAAATTATGAAAAGTGGTAGCAGTCAAAGTCTATTCTGAATCCAAAGTTACAGGTCAGATATGCTACTGGTTTACACGACAGGAGTTTGGTGCCAGTATCTTACCACAGCAGCCTACATCGGACACACCGGAAGCCTGAAGTGAGGTTGAAAAGCTTGCAAGTTCATCTGCCAATTTGCCAGATGATAGACCTTCACGTCAACAGGGAGCCCCCCAGGAAGCCTGACCAATCATATAAAATGAAACAAAATACTTTACTAGAAATTTTGACGAGTGGTTTTGCCTGTGGCTTACCTCAGAGCTGTCCAGCTGTCCTCTGTGGAGCACCCGGCTTCATCCACAAGATGACACCTCAACATTCTAATTTATTCGAGAACTCTGCTGTGTTCCAGCTCCATCCAGCATTCTATTCTATTCTGTTCTATTCTCAAAGGCAGATAATGTCTCCTTTTATGAATTCACTATTTGCTAGTCCAGCGTTCATCATGTTTTCCATGGCACAGTTTTCACAAAACTCCACATGTTATGACCCATTAGCAGTAATGATACAACACTGTATATTAAAAAAAATCATTTTGTCTATTGCTTCACAGATATTTTAAATCATACATGCAACAAGTCACAACTGAAGTTTAAGCTGTTGCAAGTAACTCCACAAATGATCCTTTTAACATTATTAAGCTGTCTATGTTTGCAAATTCATATTCAAATGCTAATATGTAGCATCCCGTGTACTGTGGTAACTATAGCCACACCCAAATCTCACCTGCACCCGAGTTTGTGAAGTAGGCAATTGATGGATTTAAGACCTTAAAACTGTTCTGAAATGAATTATTTGGTGGATAATAGTTAATAAGTTTTTCTATAAATTATTTTTTGTTTGGGTGGCATATTTCACTGCTCCTATTGGAAGAAAAGATTACTCAATTTACATTTTACTGCTATGACTTTTTTCGACATGTCGGCTGTATATTCTGGCTGTGCTGTTGTCCCTCCCCAGACAATCTGCACTGCCCATCGAGGTGCACCTGATACTTTACACTAGAGGTCCCCAACCTTTTTTGCACCACGGACCGGTTTCATGTAAGACAATATTTTCACGGACCGGCCTTCAAGGTGTGGCGGAAAAACACGACGAAATAAAATGATACGATCGGCATGAAAACAAATACAAAATGCATAAATAAATACAACTCACAATAACGCTGAATCAGTGGCAGCCCTGAGCTTGTTTCTCTGCAACGAGACGGTCCCATCTGGGCGTAACGGCAGACAATGACACCCGAAGTCTGTTCCTGATGTCCAGTCGACTCCGTGATTTTGTTTTGATTTCTTTTTCTTGGAAGTTGTAGCTCTTCTTCTGTCTCCTTAGTGGGCCTTTCACCCTTTGCAAAGAAGCTCTCCAAAAGTTATTTACTCATTGTCGCTAGTTTGCGGGCTTCATTTGTGAGGTGACGTATCACGTGACCGAGACAAAGCGTCTTGACATGTGTCAAGAGGCACAGGCGGATGAAATTGCGAGAGAATCCGGTCTTTTTTCAGACTCTGATCATCAATAAAAAGGAAATAATATATTTATTCTTCCTGTGCGGCCCGGTACCGGTGGTTAGGGACCACTGCTCTAACTAAAGCTAACCTCAGTTACTATAACCAATGATATAATTATCAATGAGGTTATGTAGGCCATACGATTAACATGCAGTAGATTCAGACTAAATCATCATGATGGGCCTTAATGTTGCCACCTGTCCTGTAAAATGCATTTATCAGCTGTTTTTGATTTATATTACGTTCTGCTGTCCCCTTGGCCAGGACCATATCTTTTTTCCTTTCTATAATTTCACTTGAGACTGTTGTATTCATTTTGCTTTTAAGTTCTTAACAAAAAAAAAAAAAAAAGAAAACACTCAGTACTTTTCATTTATTGAAGTCACAGGAGTATACAAAACATACTTGACCATGTGGTCATTTCATAATAAGGTTATGTCTCAAAATGACTTGATTTATTTAAATCAGTTATATCAGACAGATGGTAGTCCACCCAGTCCTTTTGACCTGTTGAAATCATTTTAAAATGGGCAATACAAACCGAGAAATGAGAAATTATAAATACAGTCTGGTTTCCAAATATAAACAAGATTATTAGACATACCAAGCACATATCAGAAACTAACATTATTCTTTTGCCTAGAATATGTATATCCCATACTAATGGACACAGTTGTGATCAGCATACAAGCATAGACTGTACATAAGAGGTTACAAGTAACATTTCTCAAAGCCATGTCTTTGACTTTACCACGCGCTCCTTCACCGTTGTAGTTTCCCAACCAGGACTCCAGGTGCCACGTGCGTGTCCCTCTCAGAAGCTCTATAACCCAGCCTGGAACAACAGGGGCTTCTGTCGTGAGTTCATATTAATAAAGAAATGTCTTAAGTGATTGATTAGTTATCCGCTTTTCCGTATTCAAAGGAGTAGTTGTTGTTGTCGTTAGCCGAAGCCTATTGAGCTCAGGATGTATCCAATTGATGCGTTGATTAGTCTTCTTCTTCAGCTGTGTCTTTATTGGATCGCAAACCAACCACAACTGCATACCGCCACCTACTGTAGGGAGGGTGTAGAGTCATGGCATTAAGAAAAGTAAGTAAGAAGAAAAGTAGGCTAAGAATGAAAGACATGCACCCTATTTCCTAACCCTGCCTGTATTATATAAACTACCAACCCCCCTCTAGTTTCCCTGAAGTCCTGTCCTGTGCTCAGAAATGTTTTTAAACTCTACTCCTGTTCTATATTTCTTAATGGTCCATCTCTGAACTATATTTATTGCAATGCATGATCATGTGTTCCAGCTCCCCTCTGTGCTTATCCCCTTCCTTCTGTTGATCACGGCTGTTCTAATTCATGATTTGGCTCCTACCACAAGCTACTTCAATCATTTTGTTGTCATATACTTTCAGAGCCTTCTCAGCTAATGCATTTGCTTGTTCATCGTCTTTAACACCAATATGAGCAGGGGCACAACAAAACTGCACTTCTTTACTCTTCCTTTGTAATCGTATAGGAGCATGCTGTGGATTTCTCTGCTGCTGTTGAATCTGATGAAAAACATCTGATGTTCACCCCATCCTATCATGGAGATGTGTGCTGTTTGGGCAGCAAACTTGACTTTGATATATGACTCTACCTTTGGACACTGGGTAAAGTTAAGCCAGGATTAGTCTGTGCTATATTGACCCAGAGATACCAGAACATTGTAGACTTCAAGGCGTTTACGATCATCTGACCAAATACCTATTGCTGTCTCTGCATATAGTATAGGTAGAAATATCTACCTTTGGCAGCCCTTTCAACAGCACTGTTCTCCTCTTTTGAATTAACATGTTGCCGCCCTCTACTGCCCACAGCCCAACATAAAAAGTGTGACCACTGTTCATGCAGAGGACAATGTTCCACAAAGCACAGAAGGCACAAACACCTCCACTTACGAGAACAAATGTATTTCAAGCTTTCAGACGGAAACAAAAACAAGTATCACAATGTGTTGAATACATGATTTAGACTAAAAAAAGAATGCAAAACCAATGAGTGTCACCACATTTACCTTCTATAAATCTACAAATGGATTCTGTTATGTAGGTTGTGTGCACATGGTTCTACTTTATGCAAATATGACCTTACACAACATTTCATACTCTCACCACAGAAATATGGAATAGGTGTTTTATGGAAAGTCAAATCCGGTGATCTCAGAAATCACCAATAAGAGAGAAGTGACGAGCAAACAATGGATGAAGCTCCGACTGTGTTTGAGTATTTGTGTTTCGTCTTCTAAGGGAAGGGGTTGTCGGGCGTGTAGTTGAAACTGGCGTCCAAGAACATGGCCAGGATGCCCAGAGTGGTGATGATGACGAACAACCACAGGAAGAGACGGTCCACCACGAGGGCGATGTACTGCCAGTCCCCTGTCATCTGGAAGAAACACACACACACACACACACACACACACTCACACACACACACACACGATGATATGACTGGTCTTGTGCTGCCGTGGCTCCTCTCTGTTGAACCAACGGAGGTGGGCGGTGGTTTCTCATCAATCCAGCCAATCACAGCCACACACGACCGGCCGCTCGAGTACACTGGTCCGCTGTGACTTGGGAAAGAGGAGCAATGCTGGATGGATAAATAGCGGTGAACACATGGGACTGTTGAGAATTAAGCGAAACATTTGTGAAGAATAACATCGGGCTGAAGTGAGTGAGACAACGTGAGATTGGACCTGTCTGATGCAAGTCTAATCATGGTTTCCATCCACCATGTCGCTCACAGATTACTGACTTACATCCCATATGTTCTTGTTTTGATTGACATGAGATATGAAGGTAAGAAGCCGACTATACTTAACTTGGCAAGCGTTGGCGATAGCAAGTAACGTTGGTGTAAACTAATTAACGTCACCATTAAACTACCGTTGAACTTTGAGCTCGCTTCCGACAGCCTGCTTGTAGTTTGATGGCTATATACGTCAAAGGTTACGTTAGCTAGCGCTAGTTGATGACAGTTGGCTAACGTTAAGCTGGCTATCACTAATGTAACTTATATCGTTGGTATCGCATTAGTGAAAGTAACGATAGCGAGTTATAGTTTGGGCTACACGTGTACTGCCACTTTGGTAACGTTAGCTTCGCGTAAGCTTCACCAACCTAACTTTAAATGTCAACGTATCGTTATATGACAGCTAGCGTTAGCTAACCTACATGCCAAAGTACTCTCTCTCTTATTGTTACTGCCATGCTGCCTCCTGTCACTGTCAATAGTTAACTAATTAACGGGAATACATCTAGAGAGGAGCACTGTAACGTAATGTTGCTACTAGTCTTCAGTAATATCAGTTTATAAACGTTAACGTTGTTTGTTTCAGGAGTGGAATGTGGCAAGGATGGGAGTGTGGACAGTCATTTGGAGATGGGGAAGAAACTGCTCGCTGCTGGCCAGCTAGCTGATGCTCTCTCTCATTTCCATGCTGCTGTGGGTAAGTGCTGCAGGCTGAGGTTTAAAAAAATAAATGTTTTTACTTTAAGAGGTTCAATTCAAAACTCGTATATTTGTGTTTACTGTGTCCTTGTGTCAGATGGAGATCCCAAGAACTACATGTCCTACTACAGGAGAGCTACAGTGTTTCTAGCAATGGGGAAGTCAAAGTCTGCACTGCCAGATTTAAGCAGAGTTATTGAACTCAAACCAGACTTCACATCTGTGAGTTGTTGTTTTTATAAATCAGTCTGAATCATTTTTTGCACACGCCTTTATGTCCCACTGCACGGAATTATGTGAGAAGCTCACCTCAACAAATAATTGAACGAAACCGGTTTATTTGTGTATAACAATACCTGTGCAAACATTTAAATCAGCCCCGGGCACAACTGGTCAACCAACCGGTCGGTTATGTCAGCTGTGTTTGTGAATCTATCTATCTATCTCTATCTCTATCTCTCTCTCTCTTTACAGGCACGCCTCCAGAGAGGAAATCTCCTACTGAAGCAGGGGGGACTAGATGAAGCCGAGAGTGACTATAAGAAGGTGGTAAGTATTAGAATATCCACTTTAAACTCCACAGCAACAAGACTTTAAGAAATCACTTATTTTGTTAGAGAAGCAGAGATCACCAGGAGGTGTCAGTGTTGATCTGTAAGCCTGGTGTTACAGTTTAAAAACAGATACTCATGGCCACACAAGACCTTTAGAGAACAGGGACACCCTGGATCCATAAGCCGTCGTGAAAGATGATAATGAAATTGGCAGGGAACCTTAAGGGATCATTATAAGGTAGCTTGCTAATGCATTTTCCATTAGAATTACTGAGAGGTTTCACAACACTGCCAGAAGACATGAATGCCCGTGTTGTATCTGCTATTAGTGCTTAGATTCCATTTAAGCTGCTCGATTCTCAGGGGAGGCAATCATGCGGGCAAAAAAAAAATGAAGTTCTTCTTTTATATGGGGATTGCACGTGAACGCCCGTGACACTTTGTTCCAAGGGCATGTGGCTGAGCCTGCAGCCTCATTAACCTGAAAACGAGTCAACTTTTGATGAGCTTTATTCCATGTAGGCTGACGCTCGGTGGTTATCAGACTGTAATGTAAAGTTATCACCGTGTTCAATGTGCTACAGGCTGCTGAACTGTATGATTTGTAGTTTTTAAATACGAAAAGTGAATCAGTCACTTTCTGGGAGTGTCTGTCTGAGCTTGTGCAGTTTTACGAGGGCAACGTTTTGCGGGTATAAAGCTGAAGGATCTGGCCAGAGGTGTGTGCTGTCCTGCTGCTTCAGCGGTCCACAACGTTGGCCTAGCTTGATGCATCACATTTATGCGTTACGCTTTTTTTCCTAAGCTGAGCTTGCAGGAAATCGTGATATTGCTCTTGGGGAATGTGATGACCTCCTATGATGAGGATAATTCTAATGTAATGGGTTTTAGAGAATGGTAAGCGTTGCTCTTCAGAAATATGTAAGAATTCTCTGCTTTAATCACGACCATAAGCATGCGATCTAAAGTGTTGCCTCACAATGCTCCAGCTGAAATCCAACCCCAGCGACAAAGAGGAGAGGGAAGCCCAGAGTCAGCTGACGAAGGCGGATGAAATTCAGCGACTGGTGGCTCAGGCACGCGGCAGCTTCAGCAGCCAGGATTATGTGACAGCTGCTGCCCAGCTGGACACTATCATTGAGGTAAGAATTCTACCTCCTCAGCATTGCGAGCATGACATTGTCCATGTTAATCACCCGCAGAGTTGACGGAGCGTTCCTATAATTTCTAGTGCCGCCGGTTTTTTTGTAAGAGGTATGTTTTCTGCCGGTTCCAGACTTGCGTTTGGGACGTGGCCTCTCGTGAGATGCGAGCAGAGTGCTTTATTGTAATGGGAGAGATGGGGAAAGCCATTAGTGACCTGAAAGCTGCATCCAAGTTAAAGAATGACAACACCCAGGCTTTCTACAAACTCAGCACCATCTACTATAATCTCGGAGACCACGAGATGTCCCTCAGGTAAGACTTCGCTTGCAGACGTACATCGGGTAATATGTCGAATCGTCCTGTTCTGACTGTCCACCTCCTCTCGTGTGATCTGCAGTGAGGTTCGCGAGTGCCTGAAGCTTGATCCGGATCACAAGCAGTGTTACAGCCATTACAAGCAGGTCAAGAAGCTCAACAAACAGATCCGGTCCGCAGAGGAACTCATCCAAGAGCAGAGGTGTGTGTGTGTGTGTGTGTGTGTGTGTGTGTGTGTGTGTGTGTGTGTGTGTGTGTGCAGGCAATTCTCTCCTCCAAGCATTCTGATTTTCTGATCTCATAAACTGGCACGCAAAACTCATCCCAATTTGAATGGATCATACTTAACACACACAAGATATTGTACTCTCAAGACTAAACAAAGCAAGTAGCATGGCGGCATGTCTGTGGGTGCAATGATCCATATTGCTATCGGCCGTATTGACCGTTCCTTCTGCTCTAGGTATGAAGACGCAGTGAGCAAATACGAGGCGGTGATGAAGACCGAGCCCAATGTGCACCACATCGCTCTCCTCGCCAAGGAGCGCATGTGCCATGCGTTAGCTCAGGTAAGGCCCCTCACTGCTACCGTGGGATGCAATAACTCACTCCTTGACCGGCAATACGTCTAATTAACTTGTTTTTTATTTGTGTGTGTGTGTGTGTGTGTGTGTGTGTGTGTGTGATGAGCAGGGCCAGCAGGCTAGCAGAGCTGTGTCGGTGTGTGGAGAAGTCCTCCGGTCTGATCCGGAGAATGTTAATGTGCTGAAGGACAGAGCGGAGGCTTATGTCCAAGAGGAACAGTATGAGGAAGGTGAGCCTGTCGGGTGTAGCTGTAGGTTGTTAAGATCTATTTATTTTTTCATTTACATTTTCCACACTCTGAGCCTGGATCACACTACATGCTGTTGAGCGGGTCTACCAACCTACACTGGGAATTAATTAACTCCAGTTGAGAGTCCATTTCAGTTCGGAGTACCAAATCAACTGGTGAGTGTATGTTGTAATATTATTAACTCTATTGCTGTACACTGGTGTCATGGCAGGAGTCTAACACAGGGGGTCCTTGTAACATAAATGAAAAAATACACCGTGAAAGTAAGTTGAAATATCATATAAGCATCTTACCATCTGTTGGAATGTGTTTGTCTACTGGAAAAATAAAAAGCTTTAATGTTAACATTAAATGCATATGCTGCATAAACATTAAATGTAAATGCTGTCAGGCAACATAAAGCCAGAACAGTGATGCTCACATCCAATCCCATTTAGCCTCATTCAACACAATGTTTCTCTTCATCACCAAATGTAGATAAATGCAGCCGTGTCCACATCTCATTTTGTTAAAGCGTATAATCGCTATATTTAAAGCATAAAAAAGACAAACGGCATGTGTTAGAACATTTATCCCATACAGTAGAATTAGAATGTTTAGAAGTATAACCTGCAAAATGTAGAGCTGCCCTGCACTGCTGGCTGAAATTATGCAAAATTACTTGTTAATCAAGCCTGAAGCCATTCTTCAGTGCCAACACACGCAGCACTTACTATCTCCATAGAGCCTTCGCTGGCAGAGGGGAATTAGGCTGAAATAGCGCTCTCTCCTATCTGTTGGACTAGAAAGTCCAGTCACAGATGGTGAAATCCTCAGGAATAGTTTTTGTCTCAGCCATCATTTTACCCGTCGCCTGATGTTCTGCAAGCAGCCCATGGATGTTTTTGTCAAAATCTCTTTCTATATTTTATGTTCATCTATCAATTAAGCTTGAAATGTAATTCATTCCATCCCACCCAGCTCGGGGCCAATTCAACGTCCAATCCTGGTTCCTATAGAATAATGTTCACATGCATTATACCCTGACGCATCCTTTAATGGTAATTTAGCAGGTAAAGGAGAGCAGACATTTTTCACACTGCTCAATCGGTGGGGTCTCCACTGGGGACTCGATGTGGGAGTGACTGAGGGGCCATCAGGCTTTAAGAGGAATAGAATAAGTTTAGGATCGGTGTTTATCGGTGGACACAAAGTGAAGCTGGTGGAGGCCTGGCCAGTCTTTTCATTGTCTATCTTTCTCAGTTTTCATAAAAATGTGAACTGTTTCCAGCGCATCAGGCTCCAACACTCTTATTGATTTGTATTCCATCAACTAAACATTTGTATCTAATACCTGAGACTTTCATATTGCTGAACAGGCAGTTAATCCGACAAAAAGAGACACTGTCATGCTGTACATGGGAGGTCCTAGTAAGAATTTGGCATTATTTTTTTATTGCCACAAGTGCACATTTACAAAAAACGTTTTCAGTATTTGTTGGGACAGTTTTTCCTTTATTTTGATATTGTCTAATAAAGAGAGGGAGAGAAATGTGGGCTGAGGGTTTGAATGTGTGACATTATGATTACATGGACCCCTAGGCCATCATAACAAAGCCAGAAAATGATCTGTGCAACTTAATACATCGAATAATTAAGCAATGCATAATAAAGTGACACAGGCAAAACCTCAATAAAATACACTTGTGGGATTTTGGAAAAAAATGTGTGCATGTGCCTCAACTAATAACTGTGACAAACATATCATAGAACACAGAAATAGTGTGCTGCTAATGTGAAAAGATAACATGTGGTGTGTTACAGGCAAGCTGAAATGTAATTATTTATATCCACTTGAGGTTAGTGTGACATAGTGATGTTTTATTTTACTTTTATTCTGAGGGTGTTTAATGTAAAAGTGAACATGCACTCAAAGTAAATAGCAGCTATTTAGAAAACAAATAAGACAGATTAAAGCTCCACAACAGTTTTATTGTGTAGATTATATAATCAACAAACTGCCTTAAATTCATCCATAATGCTCCAGTTAACTGCATGGTTTATAACCCACAAATATGGTGTCTTTTATTTAAAATAAGAGGATCAAACAAGTCCCTAACGTGTCATATTTTAAAAAGTGGTCAGCAGCGTAGTAATACCGTGCTGAGGCTGTATATGTTGTGGTCAACATGCATGAACACATCAGCCGTACCTGATACGAGCTTTTAAACTGTCAGAACTCCCAGGGGTTAAATCGGCCCCAGTGCGCCGCCTCACAGGGTAAACAAGCCTCAGAGCACACAAACAGCCTGGAGCGGCTGCAACACCATCTGAAGGTGATGGGGAATAAAATGGCTTCTTTAGTAGCATGAGATCAAGCATGTTCAGAGATGGGATCGCTGAGGACACGAGTCAAATACTTTTTATCTTGCTCATAATGTTTGTAATAAACTTTGTTATACCAATGATTCCGGCAACTATGTTTCATAAATGCCAGAACTATTTTCAATCTGGGCTTTTTCTGTACATGTTTTTTGATCATGACTGTTGATTTTGTTTTAAATGACATCACTACTGATGATGATGATCTTTAAAATAGGACATTCAGAGCATTAATATTGCAGCAAACAACTACTTGCGATGTAAAGAAACACTGGAGTAAACACTGGTTGCGTGGTTCATCGACTAGTTGGAGGCTCGGACACATGACCTTACCATGTGCCTTGCTCAAAGACACTTCAGCAGGGTGGATGCTTTCCACTACGAGGCCTTGAGGTCCTGTTTCCCCCTCTACGGTCTTTAAATACTGTACTTCACTTCCTATAGGCTGCTTTGGCTGACTAAGCGATACTTTTTATTTTCCAGCTATTCAGGACTATGAGACGGCAGCGCAACACAGTGAGAACGACCACGAGATAAAAGAAGGCCTGGAGAGAGCTCAGCGACTCCTCAAACAGTCTCTCAAGAGGGATTATTATAAGATCCTGGGAGTGAAGAGGTGGGCACCGATCGCTGGAGTTGTTTTATTGACTTCCATTTTGTAGGAGTATTACAGAGGGGAAGTATTGGGGTACTTTATTTTATTATAAATGGTTTACTTTACAAACCTGCATTAGAAAGCTTTCTGTCTTTGTTTGCCTTTTGTCACAGAACTGCCCAGAAAAAGGAGATCATCAAAGCCTACAGGAAACAGGCCAAACAGTGGCACCCGGACAACTTCCAGGATCCAGAGGAGAAGAAGAAGGCCGAGAAGAAGTTCATAGACATCGCTCAGGCTAAAGAGGTTCTCACCGACCCGGGTGAGATGTTTTCTGGTCTGCAGAGTCGGTGGGAATTGTTAATGCTAGCCCTCTGAGGGGCTGCTGTGAACAGCTCACTGCTTTAAGGATAAATCATTGTCATTATACAAGGTCCCTTAAGCCCGAAATTCACTGTCACATATTTACCCCAACTCATGTTCATTTCCTAATTGGACTAATATCTAATTCAAAAGCTATCCCTAAGTATATCTATATCTATAGATATATATATATCTATCTATATATGCATGCTGTTCTGTACTGACGTGTGATATCTTTCGTAGACATGAGAACCAAGTTCGACCAGGGGGAGGATCCCATGGACCCGGAGAGCCAGCAGGGTCGACAGCATCATCAGCACTTCCACCAGGGCTATCAGGGCTTCAACCCGTTTGGCTCAGGACCGTTCAATTTTAAATTCAACTACAACTGAGGAAGCTCCCATTCAGCACAGCTGGAGCACATTGTGTCTCTTCCTCCCTATTTAAAAGGGAGATCGCTGGCATGACTCAGAGATGTGGCGCAAATTGTGACTTTAATTCAGTGACCTTAATTAAATATGCATCTTTGTTGTTGAAGAATACAACTTTTGAGTTCCGTTCGGGGGAAATGTCTGTTGCTATGCTAACAAATATGTGCCATGTGTGGAGCAGCTTTTATGTCGTGTGGAAGTAATACCGACACTTCACATCCTTTCCAAGTATTGTACAATTAATATCCATTCGTAAGATTAAATTTGTACATAAGTACAGTACTATTTTTATATGAATGGAGTTTATTGAAATGTAAATAAAGACCTATTTATGTACCTTTTTAAATTAAACTGAGGGGAAGTATTGCTGTATGCAGACACTTTTAGGAATGGTCGTGAGAAATGCTGATTCTTTATTTCAAACGGTTTATTGTGAGGGACCAATTCCTTCATTGTAGACCTTTAACATGAATCACAACATTCACTGATTTTGTAATGATTTTTGTGGCAAAGATTTATTTTTTATTACCAGACAGTAATATAAACATTATTTGACACAGCACAGTGAGAGATGGGTGCCCTGAGGTCAGCACCCTTTTTTTTTGTAACTTAAGACGGGAATAAAAACTACAGCTGGCCTTGGTTGAGCAGCAAAACCTGTTCCTGAGACAAAAAAACACTGGTTCATTGTGGAATATGAATATTGGAAAAATCAAAAAATGTAATACAATGAAGCAAGATGTAAACATACTGTAATAAGTTAACATCCATAAACCATGACCTTTAGTGTGCAAATGAAGATTCCATGTACCATCACATGACTTTGTAGAGATGATTTGCTGAGTGCTCCTTAGTTACTACAGATGGACGGTTGCTGTTCAGAGGCTGATTAACAAATGCTAACTTGTCTGTTCTAAGGGACAGTAGGGACATTATTGGGACGGGGACTTATTTATTGAGTTGAACTCTCTACTTGACTTTGAAAAAAAATGCAATTCCCCCCCCTCCCTAAGATATATAAAAAAAGCTATTAAAATCATTTTGTGACAGAATTTGCAAACCTTTAACAGATCTGGGACTGCTGAAGGACTCGAGAATTACAACATAAGATTCATTAGCCTGTATGAGATCAAATATCTGATATGTGTGTTGGAAGGAGGAGCAAAAATGACACCCAATAATAATCATACAATGTAACACCTTTGCTGCCTGTTATGAAATTTAAAAACAGATGAGCTTTATGTCTTTGGTTTGGGCATCTTAGTCAACTTCAAATTAAGAACACCTAAATGCATCAGCTTTTGGAAAGTTATTCATAATAAACATTAAACTTTGAGATTAGATTCTCAGAGTTGTGCCTTTGCATACATTATCAGTGCAATAAATTTCAACTATGTATTTTTAAACACACACCTAATAAGAGCGCTTTGACTGACCTCACCCCACTATTCTGTGTTCACTTCATTCTCCGGTAACCACAAACTAACCCAGCCCTGATTGTAGTGCCGATAGCACCCCCACAAGTTCACAGTTAACACTTACACCACGTGTTCATTTTGTAAGACGTATCGACTGCAGACGCAGATATGGCATCTCTGAAAATATCCTTCTGAGGCTGAGGATGCAACGCTCCACGGCTATGTTTAGAAGGGTTTGTCTGTCTCCGAGCTCCACAGGAAGGTCCTTCCTCTGCACAATGATGCTGGCAGCCATTAAAGTTCATCGCGTCTGTCCTCTACTGTGCAGAGGGGTTTGGAAAGAAATGAGGAGAATGAGCACAGGGGTGAGAGAGATACACATCTGGCCAACAAGAGAAGGGGATTATACAAAAGGTACATTTTTACTTTTCTGTCTCATAAAAAGGGAAATAAATAGTGTTTCTTTAGTGACCTTTTTCATGTTGTGAGGGAGAAGGAGTGTGTTTTTGTGTCGCTGTGTCTTGCTGTTCCTGGACCTGTCCCAGCAGCTGTTTTATCTCGTTGTCGTATTCAACCCACTCGGGCACGATCCTCGCTGCGGCCGTTAGCTTGGGCTCCTTGGTCTTTGGGTTATTGCACTGCAGCAAAAAAAAAAAAAAACAAAAAAAAAAAAAAAGAAGACACAGCACATCATTTGCACCACCAGTGCCACTTTCTCCCAGCAAGTCATATTGTCATTCCCATCACAGTCTGTGGCGAGCATTTCAACCCTAATTTGATTTCTAATTCTGTTAAAAGGACATTAGCCAATGTCTTGTGTCTGAATTACCAAGTGGTGTCCTACACCACGAGGAGACAATGCTTCCTCTTGCAGTCTGCTGGAGCCCGTCCAGTCGTCTTATGAATTAGTTTAGCAGACTACAGTTTTGCTCCACAGTTGTCTTCTAAATGCCAAGTGCCTCATGGACATTAGTGGCTGGGGATGGGCCTCGGCCTCTTAGTGCTGCAGCAGCTGCACTTCACTATTACAACCCAGAAATCTGCAACCGTGGTGGAAAAAGGGGGATGTAAAAACTTTTTGCCATTATTAACATTTTTCGACACAAAAGATTAAAAAAAGAAGACAAAAGGGATTTTATTATCTAAATAAAAGGGGAAATGATTTGATGATGAATGCCGGTTAGCGTTGCCCACCACATTGGTGTAGGTCTAGTGGCTCTGGGACTCACCAGGTCTATAGTCTTAGCCGAGACTTTGGAGGCGTCATCGCACCATGTCTCACACCACATCCACTCCTGCGGAAGAGACTTGATGACAACCTGGTGGATCATGTTGTTGGGAAGGTCCTACAAATAGCAGAAAACAAACATAAAGGCTCATTATAACAAACAAGACGGTACAACAGGTGCCTAGAGATCAAACTGCATCGTGTAAGAGTTACAGACCTGGTCCAGGTTGGACAGGCTGTTGGGGTCTTGGCTCAGGGCTTGGTACTGGCCACGTAATCTGTCTCCAGCTGCAATCTTTCGAAACTTCTTTAAATCTACTACATACAGAGCGCTGGTTGAAATATATGAAGGGGGGGGGGAAGACATAATAAGCAGGTGTGAGAAAACCATTTCCTAAAAGGGAAAGCCCACAGGAATGGCTTCATAAAAACAAAAAAAAATAATGACTCAATAAAAAGAAAGACCCCAGGCACGCTCAGGTAATTGTATCTGACGTGGCATATTTTAATAAACCCAACCATGTAGACTGTGTAGTTTCACTTTTTAGATTTAAGTGTGCCAGAGGAGGTTCACTACCTTGTGTTCTCCCTCACTCATGCAGATTATTCACCCTTTCTGCTTTTGTCCCGCCCCACAGAGCCAAGCGGCACACTGGCATCCAATCAAATCACTGGCATCCAATCAAATCACAGTGAAGTGTCGAGTTCTGCACTCTCTGTTCAGCACATTGAGGGAGAACTCAGTGCCCCATGCTTTCAGACCTATTGCTTGATGCACTACGGCTGTATACGGATGTCTGATGCTAAATAAAAATAGCCACAAGAACTGCAACTATAATTGGTGAGCTCCAATCACCATGGAAACTGGATGAACCACAATTTCTTCTTTTTTTCTTCTAATGGTGTGTGTTTAGTTTGATTTCAGCTTGTTCAAAGGAACCTTGGAAATTTCACTTGTCGGACAAATAAAATAAATGTTTAAAGTGGTTCTTGAGGAGCCAACTGGTGACGAGTACGGTGAGATTTACAGATAGATTGGAGGAAGAAGATCAAAAACAACAGCAATACTTCCAGCCTCTCAATACAAGAGTACACAAACACAGCTTCACTTCCTTCTATGTCATATTTGTCAAAAATACTACCCTTGCAGAACAATAAATAACTCTAGATGATTTCACAACCAAAATGTACAAGCAAAGGACAGAAACGAGTCATGAGCGGCCACAACTAGACACACTGAGTGAATGGCCTCCGAGAAAGAAGGTGGCTGCAGAGGCACAGTGTTCAGAACGGTGATATTTCATAGTCTGCATATCTTGCCAGAAGTAGTGTGCTGCTATGTTCCCCTTCACAGAAGTATACCTGATGTGGTATTTCCTGTGTCCTAGATGCGAGGCCCAGTAGCCGCTTTTCCAGAAGCGATAGCCTTCCATCTCTCTGCGGCTGTCACAGAACGGCGTGTAGCCATAAGGAGCGCCCTCCAGGTCGAAATCCCTCAAGTCCTTCAGATCAGCCCGAACTATCTGTGAGAGAGCGGGAACATCGGTAAGTACCGACGCCACTTCATCCGTGCTGTCATCCAATCTTCACACCTTCGCTGGGACCGACACATATGTGAGTCTCTCACTTTCAGACACACACACTTACACACACACACACAGCTCTTGCCTCTGTCGCTTCGATTTGATTTGATCCTCACCTGATCGGCGTCCACAAAGATGATCTTGTCCACAGCCAAGGGGAACAGAACATCCAGGAAGAGGATCTTGTACCCCCAGATAACACGCTGCTTCTCAGTCTGCTGGTGGAGCCACCGGGGCCACTTGTACTGAACTAATTCATACTGAAAGCCATACTTCTCTGCCATGTGAGCGATGGTCTCCTAACCACACCAAACACAACACACCAGAGGTTCATTAGATCCAACACAAGAGCACATTTTGGGCAACTAAACATTTAAGAAATATGCACAAACTACAGTATTTCACAAACAATATGATATATGGACAGAGAAAGTACTAACAGATAGCCAGTTATGACACTCTTACGTTAGTTAGTCAATTCACAATGCAAGGCTAAAGCTAACAGTGGTGTAATATACGTATATAGTGCAAGACATCTGGACTTACTATATAAATAAACGTGTATCCACTAAAGATGTCATTAACATAAAACATGCAAACTGATTTTCTCTCATTTTTTTGCAACTCGATATGTGTCACAGAGGCCGTGGTGTAGATGATCCTTCATAGAACATTGAACACACAACACTACAAAGGAGGGAACTACTAACAGATACGTCCGCGTGTGGGAAGTACCTTGAAAGATGGAGAGAGGTAGTTCTTCAGGAACCAGAACTTGACGGGCGTTTTGGTGTGCCGGAGGACGGACAGCATCATTATTCTGAAACGTACAAAAACGGTGAAGTACCGGGGCTAGAAGGAATGAAAAGTAGGCGTGTTTGTGAGGCGACAGTGACCCTAACCTCAGGAAGCGCTCGTACAGATGACCCGAGGCCACAGAAAATATGTTGAGAACGTCCTCCTTCTCTCTCTCTCCATCCTCCTTCTTGGAGCCACCGCCTGTGATGCTGCGAATGAGAACATAATACATGAGTCCTGAGAAACACAGTATAGTCCTATAGTATTGTATGTTGTTTCAACAAACCATGCAACATTGTGCAGCAAACTGAGATGCCCTTATTTAAATGAAACTATGACAACACAAAGCCGTGATTTGACAGAAGTTCTCCTCCAGAGAACATAAACATTTATTGTATTGGACCGGACATAGTTAAAGCAGCTGTAACATTTGAACTGGTCCTTATTCTTATGTCCCACACAGCTAATAGAGAGCCCATAATGCAAAGAAAAGAATCTGAAATGATTCATTAGAATCAAATCAACCAGAGAAGCACCAATACGCTTTTAAATGGGATCCAAGTAAGAAATGAAAAAAACAATCCACGCACCATTGTGTGAATCAAGCTACAGCGTGTGCTGCACCGGGAGTAACTGGGGCTGGAAATTGCAGAAAAATGCATCTTCACACAATATAGTTAATAGTGTTATGAGCTCCTCTCGCCCCCTTTAAAAGCAGCCCCCCCCCACAACATGCTGATCGTTGGTAACGGTGCAGAAAGTCCAGAGGAGCTTTTCCTGAGATTAGTATTCTCTGGTGGGACGTGCAGCGTTAGTTAAGGCACAGAAGCCCATTCGGTTTATTTTTTATTCATATTCAATACTGACTGGAAGACTAATATATAAAGGTTAAAGAAAAATATAGCGGATGATCAGTGATGTGGTTGCATAGTTGAACCAAAAGATTTATGAATAGTCATGACTGGTCTTACACATCCCGCCGCAATTAAAAATGTGATGCTTCAGGCGCCATTTTGCCTGACCCCTACCACACACTGCTGTTACACTCTGCTGCTGGATGAAGATACAGAGAATGGATCACCCTGAGGGAGTGAAGTTATTAGAGGAGAGAAAAGTTTGAAACTGTCGACAGTGTTTCATGTAACTGAAACACTCCAACCCGGTTCATTTGCACTGCATGAACTAGTGAAGAAATCCTAATTTGATACTTCCAGTTCACTTTGGTGTGAGGCGAGCCACACGAATACCAAACCAGCAAGAAAAGAAAAACACCTAAAATGATTAGCCCAAAGTGTCACTTTATACAACGTGCAAGCGCACAGATAGGGCCTATCAAATCAGTTCATTAACTTTCAGAATACATTTATGCAAGTAAGACATTCGAAAATCTAGGTTACCAACTAGTTTTATGGAAATGGTTTTGTGTTGAGATACAGAAAGTTTAAAGCACCCTCTCCACTACTGAGCGGTGGCTCGTGATGCGAGGCACATTTAGCAGACAGAAATCAGGACTTGTGCTGGAGGGTTGATGTGTCTGCAGTCAAACTGTGTGTCCTTGTCGGTAACAGACTGCTGATGAGGTGTCTCTCCCACACTCACATCACAACCACAGCCTCCAGGACGACACCAGAGAGAGAGAGAGAGAGAGAGAGAGAGAGAGAGAGAGAGAGAGAGA